CAAGGGATTAAGTTTAACTCATTGACTTCAAAAGAAAGTTAAACTAATTCGGAGTTATTGACCTACGGAATATTAGGGAAAAAGATACCATATTTATGAAATTACATTAGGGATGAAAACGGATTGGGGCGGATAGTACATATTCGTTACCCTATCCAAAATAGTTTAAAATTTCTATATAAGAATCGGGTAGAAAATGCAAATCGCGCCCATATCTATTCGGGTTTCGAGTATCCACGGTTATCCATGGATAATTATTTCTTTTTATAACTTCAACCAACGTGTTAGAATTTACACATGTACTCATATTACATAAGTGGAAAAGTATGATAGTAATTCACCATAACGAAGAAAATAAATTTTAAATAACATAATTTTATTTAAATATTATATTTGTAGGCTGAATATAAAATATGTTAGAGAAAAATAATGGTTTTGAAGTTGTGATCTCCTATAAATTTTGACATGATATTCGAGGTTGATGATTCCTTTCTTTAGTGATGATGCATAGGCTTTGTTTTCATAACCGGACCGGACGTTGAACCAGAAAAGTTAGTGGTTTAGGGTTCAGTGGTTAACCGTTACAAAAGCGTTGGTTAATCGTTGATAGAATCGTTCCTGATATATAACATATAAGACTTGTATAATAAGGTGTCAGTCAGTAGTGGACCACGTAAAGTCGACAACAAGATTGAAAAGTGAGAAGAGGTCAAGAGGAAGCAAAAATAAAATTAATAATTATAATTAGTGGTCTTAGTTTATATTAAGATATATTTTTAATTGTAGTTGAAATAGTGAACCGGTGGACCAATTAAACCTTGGTGGTTCATCTGGTTTTATGTTGAATCGTGAAAAATTGTTTGATTCTTCAATAATCGTACAAACAATGAACCAGACCGCTATTGTAATTGGTTTGATGGTTCTACTAGCCCACTGTTGATCTGGTTCGGTTCTTATAACAATGTGGATAGGTGTGTCTTCTAAGATGATAGATCATCTCCATGTAATTTGTAAGAATGACCAATTATCAATTACCATTTGTTTTCGGGGATGACCAATTGTTAGTACTTAGTATGTGTCTTCGAGGACAACTACACATAACTTGTAGGGACGATCACTTGTCCCTTAAGTATTACATCTTTGGGGACAGTAAATCGTAACCAATGTAACTTTTAGTTAAGACCATGTGTTCTTGAAGTGCTATATCTTTGGAGACGAAAAATCATAGCATATGTAACTTGTAGTTATGACCACGTGTCCCTTAAGCATTGTCTTTAGCGATGAAAACCGTCACGGATATGAGTTATAAAAAAGTCCCTCAAGTGTTGTATCTTTAGGGGTGGTAAATCGTAATCTATGCAAATTGTAGGTGTGATCACATTTCCCTTAGTGTTATATCTTTGGGGACAACACATATTAACTGACTTAACTTGTAGTTATGGCTACATGTTGCTTAAATAGTGTCTTTAGGGACGACGAATCGTCTCCTATATGATTTATAGGGACGACCTGTTGACCTTAATCCGTAAATTTTGATATTATATTCGAGGAGAAATTGTCACAAAAAATATTAATTCTCCTAAGAAAACAATTCTCACTAGAAATAAAAATAGCCAAACCAAAGCAAATAAAAGTTATATGTGGGACAAAGAACACAACTCATAAACTTGACACAATTTGTTTTTCGTTTCACCCTAATTGTAGGAGAATAGTTCGGTCCAAAAAGTGAAAGCAATTTCCATAGCTCCCGCAGATCACCGATTAAGCATTTAATTTATGGTACGGATCTCTGGGGACGCGTACAAAAATGTCAAATTAATTAAATGTTTATCGCCTGATTTATAGAGACGAATTAATCCGTTTGTCCCTAAAATTACTTAAAATGATATTTCTCGGTACCAAATTAAACCTTTGTCCCCTATGTTTGTCCCCAATGTTTATTGGTTTTGTAGTGGAGGTTGACTACTTAGGAGGTTTCGAATACCGGATCCTTGATCGTTCCATGGATTGGGCTTCTTTACTTATTTTTAACTCAATGTGTATTCCCCCCCCCCCTCACTTGACCGATAGATTTATCATATACAAATCTGGAGGGTGAAGGAATGATATTTTTTGTGGGTATCCACATCCAACCCGCACCAACCCGCAGTGGTTAGTGGTTAACCACTACGCACTGCGGGGCGGGTTGTGAGTAGCATAATTCTATTTTTGTTGTTGTGGTTACCCCCAAAATGTGAGGTGGGTAACCACACCCACCCCAATTTCTACCCCTAGCAGCAATAACATCAATTTCAACCCTCTCGTTCCCCTCCTAGACTCTTCCTTTTTCCTCCGATGCTTGCAGTTCATCGAGGAAGAACACACGACCGCATTTACTGCCTCACCCGAGGACCTTCTCCGTCTTTCGGTCCTGCACAAGACAACCACTAGCATTAAACGTCACCTCATAGCCAACCTCGGCTAATTGTCCCACAAAGGCCAAGTTGGGCTTCAGGTCGGGAACAAGCAGGGTGTCCGAAAGTGTAACAGGACCAGAAGTAGAGGTGCCACAACCCGCCACGGGCAGACTAGATCCATTAGCAACTTGAAGCTGAATGTGCGGTGCTCGACGCAATTGAGTAATGGTTTTACTAGCAGGAGTCATATGATTATACACAGCCGAATGAAGAAGCCATTGAATACAATTACCTAGAGCAGCACCTGTAGAGAACGCAGACGTAAGGGAGCTGGTAAAGCCTCCTGGAGTGCCTCCTGAACAAGCTTGCGAACCAAGTCGGGGGAAAATGCTAACGTCGAAGAGGACCCCAACGGCGGTGAGGGTGAGGCAGGCCCAAGAGTAGCATCAGTGAGACCCGTACCCACCACAGCATACGTCGAGATAGAAGAGGGTCCACCAGGCGGAGTGCGCTGCTTTCCCCGGTGACTCAAAGTCAGGCATTCCAGAACTATATGACCCAGTTTCTTGCAGTAGTTGCAAAAATTACGCTTCTTACAATGAAACTGTAGATGCCCAGCCTCGCGGCAGAAATGACACATAACTTCCCCAAAGGGCTGACGTGCGAACTGAGGTCGAGAAGAAGAACCAGCGCGTCCAACAGCAAATGTAGATTCTGTTGAGCTAGTAGTATTGAGCTTAGCCTGACTCCGGAGGAGAGTCTCCTTGCGAACTAACTCCCCGAGAACTTCATCCATTGTATTAACGCCACGATGAATAAGAGAAGCTCGGATGGCTTCAAATTCAGGACGTAGCTTCGACAAGAACTGCATACCCAACTGCGGCCACGTTCAACAATAATGGCCGCAGATTCTGCTCCAGTAACAAGAGACGTAGTTAACAAATCATATTCGGTCCACGGATGCAAACTCGCTTGATAAAACTCCGAATATCCTGATCACCCTTTGCCAACCGGCCAATCTTAATTTCGAGCTCAAATTGACGAGAAACACTATTCTAGAGTGCATAGCCGCGAGATGGCATCACATCTCAGCCGCAGTACGGAAGCGACGCAATCCAAGAGCTGTTGGAATATTGTCGACACAACCGAAAAACCAAGTGTTAAGCTGTCCGTTGGAAGCCTCCCAATCAACATGATCCTTCGCATCAGCCTCCGCTGCGGGAGCCTTAACTTCCTTTATCAAAACCCCAAGCAAACGTTTCCCGACAAAGAAGTTTCGGAACTAAAACTCCCACAAGGGAAAATTCTTCCCATCGAACTTAATCGAAACGGACTCAAGCTTTGAAGTATCCATATCTAGCGTTGGACGAAGAAGACAACAAAAAACCCAACCGATGAAGACTTCCTAAAGATGACGCCAAACACGGTCCGAGAAGCTTAAAACACCCAACACGAGCGTGCACAAGAAGCTGCAACCATGCTCCAAAAAACACCGTGAGTAAACGCGTCCAAACTCAGCAAACGAATGAATCTGTAGCGAGACTCTAATACCATAACAATTAAGCAAACGAAATCGAAAGAACATGACGATTTAACGTGGTTTCGCTGAGTATCAGGACTAGTCCATTGGAGAGATAGAAATCTGCAAGGGTAAACTCTTATTCGTGTTAGGGTTTTTTGTGATACAAGTTATATATATATACTCGGCTGGCTAATTACAAGCAGGTACACAAACTTTCAATACTTCAACAAATTGTGCATATGGTTCTCAACAAGTGTGACTACTGGGTGATGACTAGGCACTGGTTTAACCTCGTTGCCGCGAGGTAGACGGAAAACACCTAATTTTGGGTACGCATAAGCGGTGAATAAAGCGTCCTGATTGCAATGTCTTTGTCCATAGTTGTCTAGGCAATATTGAGTCAGACCTGTAATGACGTCGTGGTGTCTCTTCTATCTCTCTCGATTTGTTACTGGGTTAGAGATAAATCTAGACCGTTCTCTCTTATTCGTTTTTGGTCCCAAGTTCTGCTAGCCGTTAAGTTAGAATTAGAGAAGGTCCTCTTTAGAGCAGTTTCTTCTTCCTTTTTTGCGCTCCTTTCCTTTTAATCTGCTCTGCCATTCTATTGCTCATTCTTTCTTCCTCGCTTGTTTCTCCACACAGTGTTTTATACTTTAATTACCATAGCGTTGTTGACGAGAGTATAGAAACGAGAGGCTGGCAATATATTTTTGGTTCATAAACTTGTGATTTTAGACGATTATGAGATATTTTGGTAGTTTTGCTTCTAAGGCTAAGACGAATCTGAGCAAGCAGCTAGGCGCTAGCTAGCCAGATCCCAACCATTGCTTTATGCCTAACGCTTTCAATAACTAAGTAAATATCTGGGATGAGAAGCTGGATATCACACTAGCTAATCATTAATTAGCAAATACCTGAGTACGTAGTAGGGTAATGTTTCCACTATAAATAGGACTCGCCAAAGCACGGGTTCCATACCATACAGACCAATACATCACAAAGCTAGCAGTTGATAAAAAAAAAATATTAGTAGTTTTGGTCGAGAAAGAGAAACATTGTTCACCGACGGCACGATTAGGGTGATGGAGGGCGCCTACTCGCCGGATCTAAACACCCACGACGTCCCCAGAAATCCCTCCGACTGGAAGCAAGCGGCCCGGCTCGGGAGCAACAAGCACTGCACCCACCGGGAGCTGGAAGTGTTGGGCGTAGCGTTCACCTACCGGAAGGTGGAGGATCTGAGGAGCGGCATCGCCTGGCAGCTGGTCAACAGAGAAGGGTTCATGGTGGTGTGGCGCAACCCTGGCGGCTGGAGCACCAACCTCAGGCCCAACAGCGTCCTGCGCCGCCTCAACGACCTCTACCAGTGGTCCAAGCACGGGATCCAGGTCACCATCCCGGTGGAAACCGCGTGGGACCGCTTCGAGCTCACCACCGGGAAGCTCATGGTGGGGGCCGGTTCGGGTTCGAGCTCGGCGCAAGCGAAAAAGGAGCTGGAGGAGAAGGAGAACCAGAGGTTTCAGGCCGAGAAGGACAAGGAGATCGAGGAGCTCAAGAAACAGGCCAAGGAGAAGGAGGACGAGCAACTTGCGGCCAAGAAGGAGATCGAAGAGCTCAAGAAGCAGGCCAGGGAGAAGGAGGAAGTGAGAATGTTTGGTAAACGACAGGAGATTTTGTGAAATTCTTTCTGCATTTCACTTGCAGCTCTGCTGCTGATTATATACATGCTATGAAGGAGACTACAGGACAAGACTATCTAACTGCCTCGTCCTCTAAGGTAATTACAAGTGTCCTATCTATACAGCTATCTAAAGCATATTTACAGCTGAGTGAAATTCAGCGTTTCACTTGGAACGTTGCGGATTGTAGGGAGCGGGCTGAGCATCTTCTTCTTCTTCTTCCTTTTCAGTCGACCGTTGCTGGAGCTGGAACTTTACTCTTTCCTGGTTTCCCTCTTCCACTTCGATTGCAGAGTTCAACAGCCCCCCACAAGCTGGCGAGTATATGTCGTATACTCCCAGCTTGAAGAGAATCCATTTGAAACGGTGAGCGCTCAGCCCCTTAGTGAAAATGTCAGCTAGATTTCTATCTGTGCATACATACTTGACATTTATCAATCCTGATTTTATCCTCTCCCTGATGATGTGGCAGTCGATTTCGATATGTTTCGTCCTCTCGTGGAAGACCGGATTCTCCGCCATATGTATGGCGGACTTGTTGTCGCAGAAGACAGTAGCTGGCCCCTTGAGTTCAGTACTTAGATCTTTTAGTAATTGAGCCATCCACTGAACTTCGCACGACAGCTGGGACAGTGCTCTGTATTCGGCTTCCGACGACGATTTGGAGACCACAGCATGTTTCTTCGCTTTCCAAGTATTGAGGGAGTTTCCAATGAAGGTGCAGTACCCAGTAATCGACTTTCTCGTATCGGGGCAAGCCCCCCAATCCGAGTCGCAATACCCCGCCAAAGTGAGATTTTGCTTGATGAGAAGAACAAACCTTGACCTGGTGAGTTCTTTACGTACCTGAGGATTCTGTGTGCTGCTCTTATGTGCGAGGTCTTAGGTTCTGATTGGAACTGACAAAGTTGTTGTACTGCGAATGAGATGTCGGGTCTTGTGGTGGTTAAGTAACCTAATCTCCCAATCAGTGACTTGTACAGATATGGGTCTTCCTTCTCTTCGTCATTGAATTGTGTTAGTCTCGTTTTCATGTCTGAAGGAGTTTTGGTTGGCTTGCTGTTCAGGAAACCCGTGTCGATGAGTAGGTCTAGGCAATACTTCCTTTGCGTGACTGAGATGCCTGCACTGCTTCTGGCTACCTCTAAGCCGAGGAAGTATTTTAGGTTACCAAGGTCTCTTACCTTGAACTGTTGTGATAGGAAATCCTTGGCTTCTTGAATTAGGTTTGGATTATCCCCAGATAGGATCAGATCGTCGACATACACTAGGACAACTGTGATGGAGTCTCCCGTTCTTTTGGTGAAGAGGGAGTAATCAGAGTAGGATTGGACGAATCCGAAGCTCACCAGGGCTTCGGATAGCTTGGCATACCACTGCCTTCCAGCTTGTTTTAGCCCATACAGCGATTTCTTTAATCTGCAGCACTTTCCTGGTATCTCCATGCCTGGGGGAAGCTTCATATACACCTCCTCGTGTAGATCTCCATTTAGGTATGCGTTGCTAATATCCATCTGGTTGAGGTGCCAGCCCTTGACCGATGCTACTGCCAAAAGTGTTTTGATTGTGTTGATCTTAACGACTGGGGAGAAGGTGTCTAGGAAGTCGATCCCAGGTATTTGAGTGAACCCCTTGGCGACTACTCTAGCTTTGTGTCTCTCTAATGAGCCATCAGATTGCAATTTAGTTTTGTAAACCCACTTACTGCCTATGAGTTTCTTCCCTTTTGGAGCATCGACTACATCCCATGTGTCGTTTGCTTCTAGTGCAGTCCTTTCAGCTTTCATTGCTTGTCTCCAGTGTTCCCATTTCATTGCTTCTTCGAAGGTTTGGGGTTCTTGTAAGTTAGTGACTGCCATAGAGAAATGTTTTTGTTGTTGGCTGAGTTGTGTGTAGTCCATGTAGGCTGATATGGGATATTTGTTGTTGGAGTTGCTGTGAACACTTCCCACGTAGTAATCACCATGCCAAGCAGGTGGTTTGGTAACTCTGTCTGACTTCCTTGTGTTGTGAACAGGTGTAGATGGTGATGGAGGTGGTTCCTGAATTTGATCAGGAGGAACGGTCCCCCCCTCGACTTCTGCTGGTATGGCCTCTTCGACACCTGCATCTGGTTCATCCATGGCCTCGAAAGGGAGGAATTCTGTTTGTGTGGGAGGAACAACAGTGGGAACAACAGTAATGAATGGATCATGAAGAGTATGCAGCTGATCATATGCAGGGGAAAAGGGAGTGGGAGAAGCAGGTGGTGAAGAAGGAGGGGCAGAAGGAGGAGGTGAAGGAGGAGTTGGGTTTGAAGTGGGGATTGGATCAGATGTGAGGGGTGCAAAGGGGAAGATGGTTTCATGGAAGATGACATCGCGGGAGACAAACACTTTCTTGGTGGTTAAGTCAAGAATTTTATAGCCTTTGATGCCAGGTACGATTCCGAGAAAGACCCCCTTTCTTGCTCGTGGTTGGAATTTTGTTCGACCATTGTCGAGGGTAGAGGCATAGCATAGTGAACCGAAAACTTTGATGTGAGAGTAATCTAGGGTTTGTTGTAGAGCTTTTGGTAGGGTGTTTGGTTTGAAAGGATGGGTGTGGGGAGGCGGTTTAGGATGTGTACTGCGTAAAGGACACAGTCACTCCAAAACCGTAAGGGGATGTGGGATTGGAATCGGAGAGCTCGGGCTATGTTGAGGATATCCTGGTGTTTCCTCTCCACGCGTCCGTTTTGTTGTTGTCTTTCGACACAAGACATTTGGTGGGTAATGCCTTGTTCTCGAAAGAATTCTGTCATGTGGAATTCCTGGCCTTGGTCACTACGTATGGCTTGGACAGGTTTGTGGAAGTGTGTTTGCACCATGGTGCAGAATTGTTTGAGGATTGGTCTTACTTCAGATTTATGTTTCATTAAGTAAGTCCAAACGGCTCGAGAGTGATCGTCCACGATGGTGAGGAAGTAGGAATAGCCATCGTAGGATAGAGTGTTCAAGGGGCCCCAGATGTCACAATGGATGATTTGAAATGGTTCCATACAAGTATTACTGCTGGAATTGAAAGGTAGTTTCTTCTGCCTTGCAAAATGGCAGGTTTCGCAATGACTAATGGTGCCTAAGGGCACTTGAGGATTACAATGTTGAAAAAGTTTAGTTCTGGAATTGGAGAGATGGCCTAAGCGTGCGTGCCACAGAGCAGCTTCTGGGGTGGGGGAGTGTGTGGCAGCAGCAGTGATGAGTGGTGGAGATACTGGATCAGATTTCGGGGTGATGGCTTCAAGGTGATAGAGCCCCCTAACTTCTCTTGCAGAACCAATCCTCCTCTGTGAGGGAAGGGCCTGGATATCACAGAAGAAGGATCGAAAAGTTAGGGAGACAGGTATTGTTTTGGTGAGAGTGCTGACGGAGAGTAGATTGAAAGTGAAGGATGGGATGTGGAGGACATTATGCAGGGTGAGGTTCTCATTGATCTCAACTGTGCCGATGTGTTCAACACGAATTGAGGATCCAGTAGGGAGAGTGACAAAGGTGTTAGAGACAGGATGATATGAGGTAAAAAATGAAAGGTTGCAGCACATATGATCAGACGCACCAGTGTCAATAATCCATACATTATGAAGTTCCTGCTGTTGCAGGGCAGTGAAGGATGAGAGTGTGTATTTACCTGCACTGTTGGGCAGAGGGTGGAGATGTCTGGACACTGAGTGAGCCTGAGCAGAGGTGTTGGTTGACTGTGTGGTGTTGGCGGTAGCGGTTTGTTGAAGTAGCATCATGAGTCTAGTGCAGTCTTCGTTGGAGAGGCGGAGTGTGGTAGTGGAGTTGCTGGGTGGTCTGGAATCATAAGTGTGGCCAGTGGATGGAGAGTCGGAGCCTTGGTCGTCATTGCTGCCAAGGGTGGCAGCTGCAGCGAAGTTGGGGCCTGCCTGCTCTCCTCGTTTGCGTTTGAGTCGCCAGCAGTCAGCGATCACATGGTTGGTGCGTTTGCAGTAGTTGCAAAACAGGTTTTGAGAGGTGTTACCGGTTCCATCAGGTGGATTCCGTGGAGTGGAGTAGTTGCCTTGATAGGAAGTAGGGCGATTAGGTCTGGAATAGTCACTGCGGGGATCCTTGCCCTTTTGCTGCTGAGATGCAGCTAAAGCCACCGAATCAACACCTGAACTGTCCTTCTGAGATTGTTTGCCCATTTGTCGTTCGAGCTTCAGTGCATATTTATATGCAGATTTCAGGTCGGGGGCAGGATCCATGAGCAGAAGTTGATTCTTGGTCATCTCAAAGCTGTCATTGAGACCAGTAATGAAATCGATGGTGTGGTCTTGTTCGTGGGACTCTTTCACAGCGGCATAAGTGACACAAGAGGTGGTGAGTGGAGTGGCTGCACATTCACAGGCAGGGATAGATTTGAAAGAGAGGTATTCCGCCCAAAGGACGCCTAATCTGTTGTAGTATTCAGTAACAGAGGCAGTGCCCTGTTTGCAGGCTGAGATGTAACCACGGACATGAGCCAAACGAATCGAATCCGCTTCGCCATATCGCTCTTGGAGGTCTTTCCAGAGATCCTGGGCAGTTTCATTGTCCAGAACTGCCTCAGCGATGGAGTCGACAAGGGAGTTGAGGATCCAACCCATGACGTTGGTGTTGCTTTGATCCCAAGCCTCATAATCGGGATGGGTTGCTTCAGGCATGGGTAAGGCGCCATTAATGAAGCCTAGCTTCTTCTTGGTCTTAAGGGCTATTCTCATAGATCTACTCCAGACATGGTAATTGGAGCCATCGAGTTTGACAGAGATGATACCTTGTGATAGGTTCTCGTTAGGATTGACGTAATAAGGGTCGATTGCAGGGCGTGGAGGAGGATCGCGAGTGGTTTGGGCAGTGCCGCCGCCGCCGCCGCCAGCATCCTGGGTAGTGGTTGTGTCCATGACGAAACCCTAGAAAGGGGTGAGCTCAAGGCTCTGATACCATGAGAATGTTTGGTAAACGACAGGAGATTTTGTGAAATTCTTTCTGCATTTCACTTGCAGCTCTGCTGCTGATTATATACATGCTATGAAGGAGACTACAGGACAAGACTATCTAACTGCCTCGTCCTCTAAGGTAATTACAAGTGTCCTATCTATACAGCTATCTAAAGCATATTTACAGCTGAGTGAAATTCAGCGTTTCACTTGGAACGCTGCGGATTGTAGGGAGCGGGCTGAGCATCTTCTTCTTCTTCTTCCTTTTCAGTCGACCGTTGCTGGAGCTGGAACTTTACTCTTTCCTGGTTTCCCTCTTCCACTTCGATTGCAGAGTTCAACAGGAAGAGCAGCTTGCAGCCAAGAAGGAGAACGAGGAGCTCAAGAAGCAGGCACAGGAGAAAGACGATCAGCTTGCCGCCAAGGATAAGCAGATCGCTAACCTCAGGAATGCTCTCAGTGCCTTCATCTAATGAATATTCCTCCTGCATCCGCATGCATGCATGCATTTTCTTAGTCAACTATTAATCTCCTCCTCTGTTTTCTTTTGGATTGTTAATTTCCATGCATCTTTACGTATGTACGTGTGTCTTCTGTTGTTGTCTACTTAATTGGTACGTACTGATAATGATCAGTTGCCAACAGCGGCGGATCCAGAACACAGAAGAGCACTGAGCCGCATTTTATTAGAAAATTAGAATCATAAAAAAATTAATGATTACAGTTTTTGTATAATGTAAATTGTACACGACGGTATCTTAATTTAGCAAATGCATCAATTAATGTAGTCCACATCCATACCAATAGTATACACTATCCCAAATAAAAATCTTGAGCAATTGGCAAGAAATTAATCGATCATTTATTGTGCAAATTAATTTTACATGTTTCTTTGTTCAAAATGTTCTCTCGGGTTCTCTCTGTAGTAGTTGTTGAAACGAGCAGCGTCAACACTAGACAAATCAATATCAATTTGCATTATGTGTCCATCTCTATACCACCACTTGTCTAGTAAATTTTCAAGGTAACAAACCTCATATTTCTTTTAGCCTATTATGCTTTAGAATTTTAGGTTTCATTGTTTTTCTTAGACGAAAAATCTTTGGGGCTAGAATTTCTCTAGGCTAAATTTAGAGTAGTGATTTGAATACGTTTATCTCAATCAATTTGCTAATTATATCCAATTTTATTATAAAATAACATTGGGCCGAATACCTAAATCGAAAAATTCATAAGGCCTATACTAATTATGGATCCAGAAGAGGGCTGGGCCGGGGCCCGGGGTGGCCACCCCCTGGATCCGCCACTGGTTGCCAATTACTTAATAAAATGTGGCTTTCTCTACTCGTCTTATGAGTGTATTGGATGCAATATCAAGTTTCAAGCCTTACACACGTCAGGCTGGCGTTCGGGGCTTGGGATACAGTCCGTAACTGTTGGTTACTGACTTGTCAGTAATAAATCCGGGCCGCAGATCTAGGAGGGCAGCTCATCGTGCGGTTTGGCTGGACGAGGGGAAGGTGAGGGATATTTTATTTCCATTTTTAAATTTTTGATTTTTTTAATTTATCCATCATTTAGTAGTGCCTTTTCAATGAAGGAAAGAAAAATAATCTTTTTCTTAAATTTCTCCTTCTCTCTTTCTTTCTCTTTTCCAATCTTTTTCTCCTAATCTAGATTTGCTCCCTTCTCTTCTTCTTCATTTTTTTGAGCAATCGACGAAGAAAAATTGCAGCCTCCCTCTTTCATTGTCTTTCTTCTTCTTCTTTTTTTTTTTTGGCATTTTGGTGTTCTTGATTGCAGAGTAGGAAATAAGTGGAGATAGAAGACGAGGTTTTTCTCCCTCCTTCTGTTTTTTTTTCTTTTAGATAATATATATTGATATACCACACTAACCATATGGTATTGGGTGGTAACGAAATATATATTGGTATTACCACATTATACCATATGGTATTGGTTGGTAACGAAATATATATTGATATTACCACACTATACCATGTGGTATTGGGTGGTAATGAAATATATATTGATGTGGCAAATTCATACCATATGGTATGCTCTTATGCCCCGTTCACTTGCCATGTAGCTGTCACAACAGAAAATATATGAAAATGAAAACAAGATTGTTGTTTTCTGAGAAAAAAACTTGCAGAAAACTTGTTTAGCTAGGAATTTTGGTGAGTTCTAAAACTATATTCTTTTAATGAAATCAAGCGCCCAGCCAGTAGGAATCCCGTGTGCAACATGTTTAAGAATCATATCCAAAGCTATAAATTATTGTTTCTCATATTTGGGCGTTGTTGTGCAACTCTGATTCATAACAAAAAATAAAAACCTAACTAAACACGATTTTTTTTCTTGGTTTTCCAAATTTCTTAAAAGACAACAGGGAACAAAAACAAGCAACAATACTAAACGGGCCCTACAGTAACATTTTTCTACTGGGCAACGGGGAGAAACCCGCCCCATAATTCAAGAAATGAGTATTTATTATTTCCCCATAGCTTATCCATTTGTGCCATTCTGTTTTATTAAACAAAAACGAAAGAACAAGTGAACACATTTTTTGTATTTGTTTCTTAATTTTCATTGTCACAACAAAAAACAGAAAACAAAATGGCAAGTGAACATGGCATTAGTTAATACCAGTCAATACCATATGGTATAGACTGGTAATAACTAGAAATTTTTTTTGTGTCAAAAAATATTAAAGTGGATATCATTTTGAAGAGTACAATTAATCGGAGCCAGTTGTGCAAAAAATTTTTTTTGACTTAAAACGAGTGAGAAATCGTCCTTTGAAAATTATGGGAAGGAAAATTAAAGATTTTTCGGGGAGAGAGAATGAGGTGCTGATGTGGTTCGGTCAAAAGTCAGCGTCAGCAATAAATAGGGATATGTGCAATTTTACCTTACTGTCTTTTTGCATTTAATTTAAATAAAAAAGTGACTGACACGTGGGGACAGGAGAAGGAGGTTACTACTGGGTTACTGACCCATCAGTTACTGACGTGATCTGCTCCCGACGTTCGGACCTTGTTAAGCCCATAATCTGAAGCAAAAATAGAAAATTGTATTACATCTATAATACGACAATTCTGCAGTAAATATAGTTACTAAGCAACTAAATTTAGACCTGTATATCTAAGTGGGCCCAGAAAATCCAGATCTAATGATTGTCAATTAAAGGCATTTTCCCCTAGTTTTATTAATCAGCTCTTATCTACTTCGTTATAACTCGGATTTCAGTTTTTTTTGCACAGATGGAACGAGTTCGTTGTGCTCTACAAAATTAGATCAATTTTCAATATATTTTGAGAAACTTTTTTTCATACCACCTGTTACCGACTACATACCATATGGTAACTTCTTCCTTTTTAAGTCGTTTTTTAAAACGTTTGCTCAGAAGGAACGAGTTCATCATGATCTATTGGATCTACAAATTTTCTGGGTGAAAAAAATACCGGACCAAAAATTACCATACTTTACCACTATGGTATTGGTATGTAGGTGTTAACTTGTGGTAACTTGTAGTAAACAATGACGAAAATTTAAATGACAGTTATTATACTCCTACTATCATGTATTCAACCTTCTGACCATATTGACATATTCATACCATCATTATACGCTTTCTTACCATATAGTATTAAATAGGGACATACCATATGGTAATGACTGGTAAAAAATAACTCAATATTTTTGTACTAAAAATATATCAAAGTGGATATCATTTTAAAGAGCACATTTTATCTTATTTATCTGTGCAAAAAAAATTAAATTTCGACTTAAAACCAAAGAGAAATCGTCCGTTAAAGATTAAAGGGGAAAAAATAAAATGCTATCGAGGAGAGAGAGGGATGCTTATGTAATGCTGATGTGGTCTTGTTACTCATGATTACTCACCATAAGGTTACTTACCTGATCCGCTTCCGTTATTTATAGTTTGCAGTCGTATAAAGCCTAGGGGGTTTAATTGTCTTTTCCCCTCTTGGTCGCTCGTCGTGTATAGCTACAGGAGAGTAGTTGATTAGGGTTATAAACAGTGGCGGAGGCAGGATTTGAAACTATCCCTGTCCTCTTTTCGTATTATAAATATTTAATAAATATAATTAAATTAATAATATCTAAATAATTTCTTTTCATTTATAAAAAATAACGACTAATACAATCAGTATTTTCATAAACAAGCATGACGAGTTTTCATATTCTGAAAGAAACGCAAAATGCATTCATTGTCTACACTTTAAGTAAGTCATTTTCAATGGATCACACTAAACAACCACTAGCAAACTGACTGTGAATTCAAATTTGAAGTTCGTTCTTAATATAAATCAAAGTTGAAAATATTTTATCTACACTTTCCATAAAAAATAGTGAAATCTGCACTGCCATTAGACAGCTTCAAGATTGTTGGGCAAATATTCGTTCGAATGGAAAAGATCTCTTGTCACGTTTGGTGACAAAACACCTAATGCCAGTTATTCACGTATTTTTGTGCTCATTCACGCCATTTGGTGCGTATTCGCGCAATACTATGTTTATTCACGTAAGAGTGTAAGTTATTCATACAAATAAAAATTCAGAGTTTTTTCCCCGAATAATCTGTATTAGCTATATTTTAGGTAATTAAATTTGGATTCTCAATTAATCTGTAAAAATGTGTTGTATTGATCATAATCTACACAATGACATCCATTTTGATATATTTCAAAGTTTAAAATCTAATCTTACATTGGCGTGAATAAACACCACGTTGCGTGACTAAACAATATTGGTTGCGTGAATAAGCAACACTCTTACGTGAATACCGTCAATATGGCGTGATATATATGACGTGAATAAATGAAAAAATACGTGAATTAGTTGTTTTTGTCACCTAACGTGACAAGAGATTTGATTCTATTCGAATATGCATATGAAGAAAAGAGATATATTCCAATTGAGAATTCGTTTGTAGTATAATAAATCAATTTAATGTCAATTAATAATCAAGCAATGAGTTGTGATATAGTGACAAAATACGTTGTATCGGGTGTTGTGTTCCATCCTTAGTATAAACATATATGGAGTATTTTTGTTCCTCCCAAAATTTACCCCTGCACCGGGACAATGCCAGACATGGCTGCCTCCGTCTATGGTTATATATATATATATATATGTAGTGTAATGGGATCGGCTGCAAGGTAATTAATAACAACCTGAGTTCTTTGTAGAGTAAGCTCATTCACACCGAATGAGAAGAACCACGTA